TTAGGGGGCGATTGTATACCATTTGTACAGTAAAAAAACTAATTAAAACTCAAATTTAACTCAACTTTAACTCAACTCCACTATCTCCAATATTATTAATATAATTAAATAATATCAACCAATCATTCTTATACATCACATCAACTTTTATTCACTATTCATCTACTCACATAATTTTAACTATCACTTCCAATCATTTTCTCATATTTTTACATCAAATCAACTTTAATTATTTTATTTTAAATATTATTTTAATATATCCACTAACAACTAACCATACCACCTTTTTTCAAACTTAACTATAGTTAAAAAATAACCAGTTTTTTACTAGTTGAATTCATATCCAATCACCCCCTTAGCAATTCGAAAATCTGCTACGATCAAATTTGTTATTCTACCTCAAACCCAACAGAAATGAAAGCTAAAATTGTGATGTAGGGAAGCATACGAGTGAGAAGGATAAACGAGATATTTTCTCGATAAAACCAATCAAATCTTATTTCATTCAAAAATCAACTGAATAACACAAAAGAGGAGGAGTCCTTTAAATAAGACTACTAAAACCCTAATACTAACTTGTCCAACAAGACAAGAATCCTAACAATGTAATAAATAAATAAGTTTCCTAACAAATCTATAATACCACTAGTAATAATAATAATATAACTAGTATATGGCTCGTGCGATGCACGAGAAAACAATATTACAGTTGTATTATAAATAAAATATATAAATAAAATTAATGATGATTCATCCATTCATCCATTGTTTTTAAATAAAATTAATAACATTATGGTAATTATTTGATCATAGTGTGGTCAAATATGTGTATTTGACCAATAATTAGGAGTAATATAGACATATAATTCAAAACCTAACAACAGGTGGGATCCACCATTACCCACATTAATTCAAATTTTGGTGCGTTTTGCTTCAAGTTTTGGATGCTGGGTGGTGCAAAGTTTCCTACAGATGTCTTGTTTTTCACAAGGGAAGTGACTTTGCTATTCCTAATACATCTCCTGTGATAATTTTCAAATTTAAATCTTATTTGTTTGATGATTTTTCGATTTGGGTTGTGTGGGGACTTACTGTACATTTGTTGGCATTCTTTTGTTGTGTCAGTGTGTTTTAAATTTGCTTAGTTAGAAAATAATGGAGGTGAAGAGCTCGATTAATTGTTTTGGGTTTGAGATATTTGAAAATGATATGCATTCTTCTTTGGGTGTTTGGCTTTTGCATGTGTTCTGTTCTTTTATGTGGTGTTGTTAGCTAGGAAAGAATATCAATATTTTTTATACTTTTAACCTTACTATTTTGACATTCATTAGCTTATTGTTTGTTTGTTGTATACGCAGGGTGATTGCTTAGAAGATTCAAGTAATTGCTTGGGGTGGTTTGGTGATATATAAAGTTTACCTGGGATTTTCAGGTATTTTTTTCTCCATTGTGCCAATTAGTTGTATATGTAGCAATTCGAAATATCTGCTACTCAAATTTGTTGTTATACCTCAAGCCCAATAGAAATGAAAGCTAAAGTTGTCTAAACAAATCCTCTTCATGTGTTAGTGTTTCACAAGTTCTGTGTTTGTGTACTTATCCTTGAGTTTTGAGTTGTATTTTGTAACGCCCCGTTGTTTTAAAAGGAAAATTGTCAGATTTTTAAAAAATACGAATAAATTTTTCAAAAATAATTATCCAATTTATAACTGTTTAACGAGCATTACTTAATGCCAAACAACCAACCAATATCCAAACAGAATAATCTTGAATCATAGGTTATACCATAATAATAAATTCCAATACTCGACGACAAATTCACATAACTAAGCGTTCTCAATTCTATATATCCAATATACAAGTTTTAGAAATAAATAAGCCAAAGCAAATTAGCAATTCATAATAACAATAATAATGACTTCACTCGCCCCTTTGCCACGATCACCAACTGAGCCTGAAAAAAATGGGAATAATGGGGTTGAGCAAACAACAAGCTCACCATGGGAATACTATGCGATATATCTCAGTAATAATTGACAACATTATCGCAACAGGAACACAAATCATCACATCTACCTCCTACCCTACATATGCTCATATGTACACACTCTTGCACGGGACTCAATTAATCGGTACGCCTGAAGGGAGATACGCTCTCCTTGGGTAACTATGGGAGAACTGTCGACACAACCATTCCGACAGGAGATTAGCTCTCGATAGACTGACGGTTCACACACATATATTGATTATGGAGTCACACGATTATAAGAAATAAAAGCATAGTAAGGTTTATCAATACCCACCTCAGTTGTAAGTGTTTGGGCAAGCAAAACCCGATTATCAAGAGATAAACCAGTTGAAAATTGTAAGTGTTTGTGAATTTTTGAAGTAACAAGTAGGAAAGTTATTTATTTTTGTACTATTTACTGAATTTTAATAGCTTGCCTTGATAACAGTTAATAATTAGTCTAATTTGGAGGAGTGAAAAATAACCTTTAGTGGGAGTAGTCTTCTTCCTTCATGGGCTCTTTACCCGGCCTTCGTCCTCGGTCGAGAGTTAGGTCTTCTTCTTTCAAATCGTCATCTGAGTTAGAACCCCTGGGTGTTGGCAAACATAAGGGTGCTTGACCCTCTGTGGGGTCGGTCATCAGGATTTCCTGCATCGTTTGTTGTGGTAAAGGTTGCTCGGGTGTTCCCAACTCAGTTTGCATCTCCTTCGGTTCTAGAATTTCGACGTTATTGGCAGCATATATGTCCAATGAGGGAACCGCCAGGATGCACTCACGGGCTTCCTTTTGGTCCCCGTAGTGGACTCCAAGCCCGTCCGCGGTTGGGAATTTCAATGAATAATGGAAAATGGATACTGCAGCTTGGAGTTTGTACAGGGCTGTTCTTTCGAGGATGGCATTATATTTGTTCTCGTGTTTGATAATCTTGAACGTCTCCAAAATTGTCTTTGAGATCGGGCCCTCTCCTCCGAACCGAATGGGCAGCATTATTTCTCCTTCGGATGTGGTGACCCCACCATCAAATCCTAGGATTTTGTCATTGCAAGGTCGGATTTCCTTCGTATCAATCGCATATTCTTGAAGGTATTCATGTACAAGATGTTTGCGTAGGCCCCGGTATCCACCAGGATTCTGTGAGTATGCGATTGATCGACGCCGTCAAGACCAATGCGTCTGAGTGGGGATGATCAAACAACTCAGCGTCCTCATTGGAAAAGGTGACTAGGTTCGTCCGACCGTTGGTGGCTGGTCTGGGACCCGAGCTCTGATTTTATTGTCCTGCATTATACGCCCTTTTGGCGTAGGCCTTTGTCTGCCTCTGAGAAACAATCGGTCCTCCTCGGCTGGTGTCGAGGCGGACTGGTGAAGTCCTCCTGGATTGTGGTCGGTCTACTTGGAGTTCCATCTGGGGTGGTGAGTCTCGCGTGCGCTTCCTGCTCGGGAAGAATTTGCTTCTTGCTGGCCCAAACTAAAAGTCAGAATCTTTTGCGGAGGTCTCCTCAATCTCTTCGGGTTGACCTCGGTATATCTGTCGTCTTCATCGTCTGGGCCATCATCTGCTCGACCTCTCTTTCTTCCATCGGGATTTTTTGTAAATATCTTTGCTTGTGGGTCATCGATTAACTTCAGAAGGTCGTAAATCAAACTTATGGCCGATAGATTTGTGATATGCGCAATATATCGACTTATCGAGTTGGTCTTCGCTTGCTCGCATTAGTTTCGGGTTGGGAATAATACCCTTGTTTTTCAACTCTTCATACACGGTCGCTGCGCCAACTGAGTATACACTCCGGTAGTTGGTCCTCAGCTCCTCTTGGTACTTTTTTTTATGCCCGAACTTGGGCAGTTCGAGTATTCTTCAACGAAACCCAACTTATTTTCGTCTCTTTTTCTTTGTTAGCAGAGTGCCTATTGTGGTATTTGTTTTCTTTTGGATGTTGTGTTTTGATCTCGTGTGTGTATATATCTTTATTTATTTATTTTTTTCTTTTGTGTGTGTATATATATATAAAAGTCTGATTATTTTTAAAATAGTAACTGTTTCTCATAAAAATATATTATATACTAT